AAGTTGAATCCTTACCACCCACATTGGTAACGCTAAGAACTGAGGATGCAGAAGAATCAAACACCCACCCTCAACAATGGCGAGTTCTTAGTTGACACAATAGGGGACAAGGCTAATTATAACCTCATCGAAACTCCTTGCAGTGGTGGAAGATGATACACTACTCACACCAGCAACGAAGGAAGGCCAAGCAAGGAGAAGAATGAAGGGCTCAAATCTGGATTTCACTCGCTCCCCCCATCTTTATTCTCTATTTGTGATGTACAAATGAAAACGAAGAGAAGAAAAAAAATGGTCCAAGGAAGAGAAAATATTTGATTGCTTTTGTGGTCAAAATGGTAAAGCCACAAAGCTGGAACCAAAATAAAAATATTTCTTTTTAGATCAGTAAGAATTAAACTTGTGACCAGATAAGTATGAACTATCAATGCAATCCCCCCAAACCAAGATTCTTTCTTTCCAAAATTAATATAAATACAATTAAAACACATTATTATATATTTTAATTTTATCTAAAATTCTTGGATTATTACATGGTATGAAAATGTAGAAGGGTTCATGGACATGTAGAATGATTTTGGTTATAACTTAAAAATTGTCTTGGTATATAGTGACTTGTTTGAATATTGATAGATGAAATATATTAACAAAAATCTTATGGCACCCATCAATTCTCTTAACATGAATTGATATGAGTTCATAGTGTAGGGAATGGGTATCAAAGAAATGGATGAATTCTCTTAACATGAATTGATATGAATTCATAGTGTAGGGAATGGGTATCAAAGAAATGGATTATTTCACATGAAGGATTGTCAGCATTTTTCCAATGTAAATTGTTGTACAACATCAAAATTGCAAAGTAGGTCACTAGGTGACACTGTAACAAAAAAAGGCTTTTATAGTGGTTAAAAATTACTTTTTACATTGGCTCAACAAGTGATGTTGTTTTGGGGTTGTAGAAAGTCAGACTATCTATGTTAGTTGTAGAATTGATGTGGAAGGTCTATTTTTTATATCAGGTCTAAAACCGATGTAGAAAATACATCAATTTTTTTTAAAACAATAACAAGTCCCTTTTACATCAATTATGGAGCTCAACAAATGTAGAAAATGTAATTTCTATCTTTTCAAAATTGAATTTTTTTTAAGTAAATCAAAATTGAAATTAACTTCTACATCGGGTTAATTCGCACTCAATGTAGAAAGTACTTTCTACATTGTTTGCTAGGGTACCTAATGTAGAAAGCCCAACAATCAATGACAAATATTACAAAAATACTTCTACCTAGGCTATCTATATCATTTGCCTTCCAACCGATGCAATAAGTTTGCTGTAAAAGGCTTATTTTGTACCAGTTGCACATTAATCAAGAAGATTGGCATAATGGTGGCTAATAAATGGTTTTAGTAGTTAAGTGGTATTATGTGAATGGTTAGTTTAATATTTGGACCATTGGGATGGATTATGGCTTATTGACCCAAGTTGTGTGGTATAAGTTATAGTCTTCTTTTATACTATTTGCCATGTCAAGTGATGTGGATCACTTATATGTTATAGGGTATTATTCGTGGAACTTCTTGGGAAGTTAAGGAACAAGCCAAGTCTTATTTTTGTATAATGGGAAACCTTTTTGGTACAAAAGGATTGAGGTAACAGGAAAATTCATATTTCTTATTACTTTGTTTAGCTATTTTTGAGTAGATAATATTATCTAGCATGCATTACATATTTTAAAAAATTGAATGCAAACAAATATGTTTTAGGAGGGTTTATAGGGTATTACTTTGACAATAATGCATCTATGTTTACTATATTTTTAACAATGATGTCTATGAAAATGAGATTATTAGCATGCATTGTGATCATAGAGACGAGAAGTTGCACTTAAGAAAGTGCAATTAGGTTAGGTACCTTAGATAGGCTAAGGAACCACTTAGAGAAGGAATCATAACCGTTATACTACCTTAGAGTATTAAAGTGGTTAATACTCGAGAAAAGTAGAAAACGGTAGGAGGCATGATCTCGATGGGAGTTCACTAATGAGGAAATGTGGTCTTATGATATTCCAAGGCTCACTGGCAGTATTCAGTGTGACCTTACTTATTTGTGGGCTCAATTCACTAAAGGATTAGTGGATTGAGTGTTTGACACCTCTCAGTTGGGGAGGGGACCCAATATGAGAAGTGTGTGGTTAAGTGCCTAAACTAAGATAGCCCTCACATGGAGAGTAAATCAGGCCGACTCTAAGTGGGAGTTAGTTTTGACTTTTCAGGATTTACGTCGAAGGGGCATAGGTGGTTTAGTGGATCAGATCATGCATTATTTTATATTTTATGCCTCTAGAGGTACAAGTGGGTACACGTTTTACCTACAAGCTAGAGAGTTCTAGGGGGCATTTTGTTAGTTAGGAAAGGCCATAACGACCTATCTCATGCATTCAAGCATTTTAATTGGTTTAATTATATGTTATTTTAAATCTGTTATTTATTTACTTGATTATAGCTTTTCTTGTAATAAAGAATATAGATTTCTCTGTTACTAAAACTATGGTTGTCTCAATATTTTCAGGTCTAAGTGAAGGATCTAGTAGTGAACAAGGAAATGAACCGAACTAGGGGTTTTCTTGTGGATTGTAAAGAATAGCATCCCCTTTCTTTTAAGTAAGTGCATTGTAATGCATTTAGACTAGGGTGCTAGTAGGATGTAATTTTGTCTGTGCGTGTGTGTGTGTGACTATATGTGGATTGTGTGCCTATGTATGAGATTTGTTTGCGTGTAGACTTGTGACTAGAAAACTTAGTTATGGTGTGTGGTTTTGATGGATTCATTTGGTAGACTAAGTTTTTACTACAACAAATGTTTATTTTGGTGTATATATGTATGAATATGTGTGATTCTGGATTGTGTGCTACAGGAAAACATACACTTTGGAGAGTAGGTGCGTGGGCCCCATGAGGAATTTTGAGCTAAGTGAAAATGTAAAGCATGTGTGTTTATATGAGCATATGGTGTCTGGAATGGTTTTTGGTCACTCTTGTGTGATTTGTGAATTTTGGAGGTTTAGGGTCCATTTTAAGAAATGGCACCCGAGTGATCAAATTTTTATTTAAAGGGTATTTTCATCACTTAAATGTTCTATTAGGTACTCCTAATCCTATTTGACATGCACAAGTGTTTCCATAGGTTTGTGACCATTAGGTTGAGATTTGGACAATTTTGAAAATGACTTTTATCAAAAGGCTGCATTTTTGCATCTGAGTGTTCAAATCTCAATCTGACCATCAAATTTTTCTAAAATTTAGATCACAAGTAAAAAGTTTTATAAGCTTCATGTGCATTTTGAAATCACCTTGATTGGACATTGGACGAAGAAATGGTGTACTCTGAAAATTGGTTCGAAGGTGTTGTCATGACAGCAGCACTATCTGATCTAGTAACATGTCCAAATTTTAATCTAACTGTTGAATCTTTTTGAAATTTGGTATAATATTAGTATTCATTAAAAGTAACATGCGCGCTTTGAAATCATTTCAATTGGAGGCCAAATGGCGAAATGATGCCTCTCAAAATTTTTCCCAGGAAGGTTGTCATGATAGCAAATTAAAGCTATCATGATAGCTATTAGTTGCCCTTATTTTCCTAGTTTGCTTCTATGCACTATATATTAATCCTTTAAACTTTTCTAAGAGGTTTTAAATATGGGTTTTTCTATTATGTAATTTGTTTAGTGATTTAAATAGTTTGTTTCTTAAATTGATTTTAAGATCAACTTCTTAATCATGCTTAATTTATTTGGTTGTAATGTGCTTTTGGATAACACACTCAGGGCAAGTGTTAGATGAACCCAGAATCCAGAACTCAAGGAATGAAGTCGCCATAACCAGCTTCCAAAGCTCTAACACAGACCCAATAGAAGAGAAGCTTGAGGAACGCAAACACAAGCTCATGGATGATAGATTCAAGCTCTAAAACTAGGGAAGAGAAGCTCGAAAGTGAATGCCGTTGGAGATGAGAAATTTTGAATGAGAGCAAACAAGGGAGCGTTGACGAAGTAATGTGCGAAATAATTTGAAAGGTTTATTGATCTTTCAAAAATTGGTCTAGAAAGTAATTAAAAATATATGTTTTTTTTTAATTTTTAACGCTTTGTAGATTGGTTGCCCGAACAACCAGTTTAGAAAGTCATTTAAAAATTTAATTTTCAGAAAAAGTTAAACCTTTTCTAAACTATATGTGAGCTTAACTGGACAAGATATATAGAAAAAAAATTCTAAAAAAAATTTCCAAGTCAGTTACAAGGTTGCCCAATTTAGAAAGTACAAAAAATTACAATTTTTAATTGAAAAAACAAATATTCTAGACCGGTTACGTTTCCAACTGGTCTAGAAAATAATTTTAAGACTAGTTCATCCATATAGAAAGTCTAAATGACATGCTAGTTAAGTATGAAACTGCCACCACCTCCATTTATTAAACTGTATGGCAAAAACCGGTTTATTTAAAAAGCTATTTTTCCAGTAGTGTGTGTATAGGAGATTAATTGGGAGATTATCATATTTAACTGTTACTATACCTGACATTTGTTATGAAGTACATGTTTTAAGCCAATTTATGAGCAATCCAAGAAAATCTTATATGAAAGCAACAGTCAAAATCATATAATATTTGAAGGGAGACCTGGGTTGAGGGATCTTTCTACTTTCCACAAGAGACATGAACTTGGGATATTACTGTGGTTTTAATTGGGCATTATGTGACAGGGTTTTTAATGAAACTTGGTGAATGATTGGTATCCTGGAATCAAATAAGCAAGCCACCATACCAAGTTCTTCAGCAAAAGCACAACACAAAGCCTTAGGAGGTGCAATGGCAGAGGTAGTCCGGCTAGTTGGCATGTTAAGTGATTTAAAGATGAATCTGATTGATTATTTGTTACCATTTATACTTGGTTCATAAGAAATTTTAATTATAAAAATCTGTCACAAAAATCAACGAATTAAATATACATAAAATTTACATTGTCCCCACATACTGACAGGAGTAACAACGTTCAAAAATCAACTAGTTGAGAAAAAAAAAAAAAGGAAAAACATCTACTTTTTATGGTTTGGAAGCCAATCACTTCCATTGATATGCGAAATATTCGTGAAATGAGCTGCTTCATAGTCTTTAAGTTGCTTTCCATATGAGACTCTAGGCGAATAGTTGGCTCCATCTCCAAAACAGTGATATTCTCCAAAAAAGACAGTCCTGTGAAAAGAACAACACATGTACAGTCATCACATATGTTGGACTACATCATAGAAAAACTTGAAGGAATGATAATTACATACTTGTTTCTGTCAGAATTACCCCAATTACTCCATCCTTCAGGGGCTACAACACTAGACATATATGTTGTTGAGAAGACGACGGTGGCATAAGCCCGCCATGCTCTTCCCAACAATACCTTGCCACTTCCATCAATCTTACAATTGACAAACGAAAACCCACTTTCTTCTTTCTTTGACTCTCTCCCATGAGCTGTAATAGACCCTCCTTTTTCTACAGAATTTATTGTGCAATCCTAACATCGTAATTTCCAATATAATCATAATTCAGTTATTAAATAAACCAAGTCACAGAATTGCCCTTAGAAGAATTAGTTTATTTGAAGCAAAGACAAATGAGACATTTACCTCATAAAGAGATCTAGCATTTCCAAATATGAAATCAACGGAACCTTGTATGAAACATTCTTTGAAGTAATGTCTTCCACTGTGATCATAGAGGGTGGCTTGAAAACCATACATTCCACATCCGTAGAATGCTAGTTCATCACCCATCACTCTTAAAGCCGCAGCCTGTGCTCCTTCCTCTCCTGGTGATGGTGGTGGGGCCGTGTTCTCAATTTTGACATGTCAATATTTTCAACATAATTAGTTGTAAAATAAAAAAATAAACCAACAAATTAACTTATTTAATTATTTCTTACTCTAAAACTAATGTTATAAGCTAGAAATTTAGAAGCAAAGACTCCAACAGAGTAACTTTTAGAAGTCCCTCCTGTAGAATGGGCAGTATTATTCCATTCTATGACGGTGTTTAGATATCCTTGACCTTGCAATATCAAATTTGTTTTGCTCGCATGCACCGTTACCTTCTCTCTATCATTTCCCAAAATAATCATATAATTATTACGAAAATGTGACTTAACTAACAATTAAAAAATAATTATGTTAATTAGCTAAAGAATACATAACGAACTATAACCTGTAAATCCCAGAATCAATAATGATGAGGGTTTTATTGGGCCTCGATTCAGGAGCAGCCTCCGCAGCTTTCTGTATACTAGTGAGTTCCCACATCCTTTTAAGCTAACCGTCAAAATAAGGCTCACGTTGTAGTTCAAAATGATATCAGAATCCCATATAATCTTGTCGCATTTTTCCTTGGGAATCTTCTCAACTCTTGTCATTTAGACACACAGATTAGTCTTAAGCACATAGATCTGCAACCTACTTATTAAGATAACAAGCTGTTTGAAATTACACATGGATCTGTAAGCACGTAGATTTTTTTTTAGGATAATTAAAAAAGTGTCGTGTGTAGAGAAGTTAATTTCAAGTGAAATATATACGTAATATATCATCTTTTTGTATTATAAAATTTATTATAAATTCCACATTGGTGATGTACCATATGCTTAAATATTATGTTGTTCGTCTTGTACTTATCATAAAATATACCTAGCTATCACATATAATATACTTATTATATATTATATATGCAATATGTTATACAAAATATATCATTTATTAGTATGTTAAAATATTTTCGTCATTAATACTCAAGATTGATTGTATTATTTAATAGTATATGTTAACACTCAATACAATTTTTAATGGTATTATATCATGGTTGTTACAAATTGCATATATATTTAAACTTTCTGTTTTTTGGTGCGAACAAAAAGACCCTCTCTATATATATTCACAAATCCCTAAACGCCTGGGTTTATAATACGAAATTAGACATGCACTTGTGTACAAATCTAGTATTGCTAATCTAGTACATATGTTTTTTTATTCCTGATCTAGTTCATCATATGTTGAAATATATACTAATATAATATTGCTAATTGGTTAATTGTCCAAGTTTAGCATTAAGTAAAGGGAGTTTTGTATTGTGTTGAGTATGCAATGACTTCCTCATGCAACAACAATGTTCTAGACTCTGCCTCGTATTTTATTTAAAAAAAAAGAATGATACATAGTAATTTATATGTACATGTTAGTCTAATTTTTCATTTTTAAGTTACATCATTCGGAAGTACACATCAATTTTAAGATTACTCTATCTATGCCAAACATTTTTAAAATCTATATCTTATTTATATATTGATTTAAGTTTCATAAAAAATTAAATATTTATCCTATCCTCTTGTCAATTTTAATATTCAATGGCATCTTTTTCAATTAAGTTTCATAAAATTTAAAAATTTATATCTACATAATTTATTATAAAAAATTAGTATTTGTTATGAAGAAAAAAAATTATGTTCATGGTGATTTAAAAAATATATCTTTTTCAATTAAATCAGAATAATTTAATTTTAAATTAAAAAAGTCAAAAAATTTATAAGAGATGGTTATAGAATATTGTGTATGTATATATGTGTGTATATATATAAACATAGAGATGATTATAGGCTTATAGAATACAGAGTAAAAGTCGTGGCTGATCGCCGCCTTTCTTTGGCCGACTAAAAGTGGTGGTTATGGAATATCAGTACGTAATAATTTTTATTTATTTATGAAATAAATCACTGGTTATGTGTTTAATAAATTACTGCACGTTTTTGAAAAATCTAATAAACTTTCGCTTCAAACATTACCGAGACTGATTGTTATTCAAAAAATTTTGTAAAAGCTAAATAAATTATTTAGAAATGAGAAATTAAACCTCACCCTAATTGAAAGTCAAAATCTGCTGCCTCGATGATAATGCAAGAGTTTGTTCTTGCATGAAAAAATGTACATGATAACATTATATATATATATAATATAGAGAATTAATATAAAAAATGAAGATTAGACTAAGATATAATTAAAGTAAGAGAGATATAATTGAATATATGCATACATAAGAGAACCAAGAAGACGACCAAGGCAATGAGAAGATAAGACATACTGAAATATTTGTGAGGTTTTGGAATTGAGTGCTGATAGAGGGACGAAGATGATAATGAGAGGGAACGTACGAAGATGACAATGGTGGATGATTGTGCATGTGTATATATAGAGATGACGGAAACTGGAAAAAATTTAAATGATAATAAAATATTAACCTTTTCCAACAAAATAAATTCCAAATATTAACCATTTTTTATCGGGTATTGCAAAAAGAGTGGCATTACGTAGCCCTCACGCCATTGATTAATGCAATCAAATACTATCCGCGTCCTTGTGTGTGTGTGTAAAAGTATATGAAAAAAAGTATCGAAGTCTGTGATTACCCTAAATTTTAAGTCAAACAAAATTTTTTTAAAAATATTTTTATTTAAATAAGTTTCATAGAAATAAAAAGGTGGGATTTATAGGGGAAAAAATCTGTTAGAATTTATGCAAGGATTAAACTTTTCAAAGAAAAACCTTACTTTTAAATTATAGAAAAATTTTGTGTTTCTTATTGTAATTATCTTGTGCCTTTTATTGTAATTTCTTCATGCTCCTTTTTTTGTAAATTTTCCCATGCTCTTTATGTTTTGATTTTGGTTCTTTTGTGTGAGGAAAAACAGAGCACTTTGATTCATTTTCTCACCGCCTTCCTACACTCTTCTAGATCATTTAAGTCGGTCCATTTCTTTAATCCTTATCAACACACTTAACTCACTGTTAACTGACCATTTTGTGGCTGTCGTTACTTCATATCACCTCACCTTCTTGTCCTCATCTGTTAGTCGCGTTTAAACCAAGTTGCTAATTTTCTCCCATATATCATGCTATTCTGTGTCCACAAGAGTCTGTCAGCAGTTTGCTATCTTAGCTACCACCTTCCTCTTCTTCTTGATCTTCATTCATCAGTCACAGTGGAAAGGTATATCCCTCGTTCTCTTGCTTTGTTTTGTGCCGAATTTGGGTGCGCACGGTGGTCAATTTTTCTTTCCTTTTTTCTTCCTTCCCTGTCATCAAAGTTCAGTGTGGGTGTAGGTAGTTGCTGCTTCTTTTATTATTGGTTGGAATCATAGCTTCTTCCTCCTCATGTGTTGACAGATTTAAACCCCTAGCTTTTTCTGCTTCAATGCTGTTCTGTGGCTGAATCAAACTTACTGCCACTAAGCTTTGTTGAGGTGAGATATTGTTCTCTTTCTCTCCTCATTACATTATGCGGTACCGCTGAATCATTCCCTCCTTCTTCCAGCTGATTGACATGATCCCTGTTCTTTATTATTGATACTCTAATTGTCATTAAGACTAAATTGTTGCATTTGGATCGAAAGTTCAGCCTAGGATTAATTTTTCTGCCTTTTATATGTTGGATATAGTGAACCTTTCTCTACATTAGTGCTGTTGGACGATTTTCTTTCTTAGTCTTGAGTAATATATAAACAATGGAGGGTGTGATTTGAATGTTAATGCATTTACTATGTTGAGAAAATAAGTAAAAGAGTCAAAGGGGAGTAATTAAGCATATTCAAGGCCTAAAGACCAATACTATAGACTTAGGAATTGTTTTTTTTTTTTTTTGAACTTTAATCTATTTCCAATGAAGAAATGTGTTTAGAAAGCATATTGAAATTGTTTATATGGTTGGATTAGGGTCAAGTTGCCAATTTGATAAGGAAATAATAAATAATTGATTTTAGGATTTTTGATTTACTTGCTAGGAATCTAATGGCATCATTGGAATTAAGGTGAGAGGTCGGAAAGAACGAGCTTTAAAATTTAAGAAACTCTCAAGTGAGTGGGTAGCGTTCTAAGTAAATTCTTAGGAAAGTGTTTACAAAAATCTCCCTATTTAGTTTATAAATTGTACTATTATTCTCATCTATCCTATTTTCCTAATAATTGTTTTATTAAAGAGAAGGTGTTGATTTTATGGGTAGTTTATATAGTTGACAAGTATTGATGAAGTAATAATAATAATAATTGATCGGTATTTGAAAGTGGAAAAAGAAGAAGAGAAAAGAAAATTTTGAAATTTTCTCTTACTTCATACATGTTATAGTTTACTAAGGGGAACTGAGTTCAAAACGCTAGATGCTAACACTAGTTCCGTTAGCCCTTGGCGCATCATGGTACACCTAGCTAGTAGGCTGCTTCTGGGAGGTGCCAGTCCTGTATGTAGGCCAACGCAAGTGGAACGGAGGGATAGTTATTCGTGAGCATCGTACTCATGCTTGTTTTCGTGGGCTTTATGCTTGCGCTTGATTCGTGGCTCTTGCCGTGCTTGTTATGTGGCTTCCAGTCACGCTTGATGGGTTATTTATCCTCGTAGACTATGTATCCACGCTTGTTATTTGTTCTGATAGAGCCTTCCTAAATTTTTGTTAACATTTTCAGTTTTCTATTTATTCTCTAAAAGCCTTTTTATCAAATTGCACTATTATTAAATATTTTTATATTTTATGAGTAGTGGGATTTTTATTTTAAACATATATGTGTGACTTCACTAGCATTGACTAATTTCACAATCATCTTATAAAAAAAAATTAAGATTGTTATCTATTTCTAGTTAAGGGCAATTCATTATTTCATTAAGGCATTTGAAGTTAAATTTATTATTTATGATCTTTATATTTTCTTTACTACGATTTTGATTATAACGCTACTAATCAGTAAATTTTTGAACTTAGATAATATAGCTGACCCTACGCCTCTGGCTGACCATTGAAGGCCTTCTTGTTTTTGGGGAAAAGGGAAGCACATGGTGACTATCCTTTTGGTGAAATTTCATTTTGCATTTTGTAAATTATAAGTTAGCGTGCCACGTACCTTATGATTAGGCATTAATCTCTTTTGTTGTGATGTAAATTACTAAAATGGAAATAGTCTCCTTGTTGGTTAGGCTAACTGGTTTTGTTGTTGTTGTGAAAATTTCAGGAGGGTCAAATTATAGGGGAGATTCTGTCGAAATTTTCACAAAACGTTTAGACTTTGCTAACTTTATTATTAATGAATATAACTTACATATATTGAGATTTTAGCTAAATTCTCATTAATCAAGGCTTATGGAATATGAGCTTACCTTATATTCCATGCCGATCATACCCTTAAGTATTGAGGTGTGATAGATGGTATCAGAGCTTAGGTTTATTTGGTTACATGGAGTAAGGATTCTTTGAAGTTTCAATTATTATTATGAACCCGGGCATAATAATAAGTGAGACTTCATTGAAGGTTCAATTAGGATGTCTCAAAAAGAGTCACTCTCTTCCTTATTTATTATGCTTCCTATATAATCATTATGTCTTAA